ATAAATGTGGGTTTTGATTTTTAACACTTTAGTGTTATTTATTTTCTTTCTTCACTTAAATGATATAAGAAATAAGTCCTGAATGTTTAAACTGTAGATGAGAAAGTGTCTTAATTGTTAATCTGTCATTATTATTTATAGCACATCTTTGGTAAAATCATTAAACATTCTCTGCAAGCAGAGAATGTTTAACCTGCTTTTGATATATCAGTGATATTTGTTGGTGAAATTATTAACCCTTACGATCCGGATAATGTTATGGTCCCATCATAGAAAAATCTGGGTTGAGGGCCAGGTAGGTGAACAGCCATCATCAGGTAAAATGGCTGTGGGTCGGGTGACTCGAACTTCCCGTCAGGAGCAAAGGCCAGGGTGATGGAAAAATTTCACCTCTTGGGGAGTGTGATTTGACTCATTTAGTGCTTAGAAGGGGGCTTTAGCATAATTCCCATCGATAAACGAATGTAGAATGTAAGAGCTCCAGGTCCAGGGAGGATGCCATTTCCATGCTATGTACCGTATTCCTGTCCACTGTAACCGGCGGCACAGGTTTTATCACGTAAAGTTGACATTAAAAAAAAAAAAAAAAAAAAAAAAAAAAAAGACATATGACACAAATATCCAAATGTTTTTGTTTTGTTTCTTTTCTTTCTTTCTTTTTTCTTTTCTTTTTTTTCCTTCTCTTAGTTATTTACTACATAGAGAGATGATATGGAGTCTGTGCAAGGAAAATAAGCTATAACCATCTGGATAAAGCATATCCAAAGACAAATAACGACATTGGAAAGTGTCCAAAAGGCTAAAAAAGTTTACAGAAAATAACTTTGTAAAGGGGAAGCATAGAGTCTTGTCACCTATCATGGGTGTATGTGTGTGCCCGGCCTACGTGCTGCATGCCCGTTATTTTGGCTACCTACGTAACCCACTGCCCATGATTTCAGCACCGTGATTTGCGTGATGCAAGCGGATCTAATGGGCTAATAAAAAAGTAGAAGATAGAATGTCTATAATGCACTTAAGAAAGCAAGTACATGCACATAAAATAGAAAAGTCAGATACCACACTTCTGGAAAGGTTAATGCAATTAACCCATGTCCTTTTTCAGCAATTGTGTTTGTCTATGACTATCATGCCGGAGCAGAGACCTTGGCTGCACGTCACTTCTCCTCACCAGCAGCACTGAGTGCCAGTGGGTGGGAGGGGCTGGTCAACTCACATGGGGCGACAAGCGGGAACAGTCCTCATGACCCATCGTCCAGGAGCTTACACAAGAGCCATCGCCACAATTCCGGGAACAGTAAGTGGTTTCTTCATTTTATTTGATTAGCTTGCCGGTTTTTTATTTGATTATTTTTATTAGAGGTAACAGGAAGATAAATTCAGCTTTGTTTAGGTTTTTATTTATTTAACTTATGTCTTAAATGTATATCCTTGTCTATGATTGTTATTATTGTATTTCCCATAGTTTCAATTCAGTTTCAATATGAGAATGAGTTTGTTGCATGCACTCTTCTCAAAGGAGTAAAGTTCCATAAGCTGAGTTGAATTACAAACAAACTGCATAGTAGATGTACGCCATTAAACTCTTGAATGGAATGTAAGTGTTTTATTGACAAATATCTGAATGGAGATTAATGACAAACTTAATGTAGCTGAGGTACAAGAGAACAGTATCCAGGCATGTATTATCCTAGTGCATCTGCTTGGCTTTATTTGTCTTTCTAATATTCAGCAATTGTTTAAACTATAGCTGTGAAATGCATCAGAGCAGTATTTGAGATAATTGTTTATTGAAATGTTGTCAAAATGTTGTTAGATTAGCTAAAATGGTATTTTACTACAAGTTGGAAATATTCACAGGCAGTGATTTATCTTGAGAACAATTACCATAAAGTATTTGAGATTTCTTTTATTGATGGAAATTCACCACATAATACCGAGCATTGACATGTGAGAAAAGACAGCAAACTATTTTCCTCTTATTCTGCTGTGATGTAAAATTCTTTATTTAAATGCTGCATACAAGCAAGGCTTATTACCTTGTTTCAGCAATTTTCAGTTTGGTAAAATCTTTATTGTTTTGTTTGTCATAATTTTATTAGTTATGATGTTATAAGTAAAAATGGAAATTTCATCTGTTTTGATATTGATAAGTGTTTTATTCCATGATGTATAAGTTTTTCTTATTTTTCTTTTAAAATATGGAACTTGTAGAATTGGTAAGCCATAAATAATAGTAGATCTCATGCTTAATTGTGAACTTGAATCCTAGATAAATATTCTTTCACCTTTCTTTTTTTTTTACTGTCATCATCTCACAGTCACTACCTCCACCACCACCAATACTAAGTCACTATCACCATCTCTGTTACTGTCATTATCACCATCACAATCTTCACCATCACCGTTGTTATCATTGTCAACATCACCACCACCACAACCATTACCAACATCAATATCATTATTATTACTATTATTAATTTTTTAAAAATCATAAATACAAAGATAACAAACCACAAAGTAATCGACCCTCTCCTTTACCACCCCAGGTCTGTTGCCAGAGGCGACCCTCTGGAACTACATTATCCAACTCACTGGGGCATTGAGGACCATCCACACTCAGGGTCTCGCTTGTCGCACACTAGACCCATCCAAAATTCTCCTTACAGACAACAAGTCAAGAATCAGGGTGAACTGCTGCGGGATTCTTGACGTGTTAAACTTTGATCCGAATGCTGCCAACCCCCTGGCCAACATGCCTCAGTATCAGGTGTTTTTTTCATGCTATTCTGTCTTCTTCTTTCTCTCTCTCTATCTGTTTCACTCTCCTTTCTCTATTTTATTTGTTTGTTTATTTGATTTTTTTGTCTTTCCTCCCTCACCCCTCCCTCTCATAAAGAAATGCAGTTTTATTTACCTTTTTGATTTTCTAATATTGCTTAAAAAATGCTGGAGATCAGTTAAGCATGTTTGGATGTGTACTGCTGCATTGTAATGTGAATAAGTACATATGTATGATTTGTAGATATTAATGATTTAAAAATATTCTTTGTGTTTAATAAAAGTAGATGTTGCATTATGTGTATTGAGAAATTGGATAAAAAAAAAGATAAATCCCAGATATGTGAAGGAAAATTATAATTGGTCAGATAAATCTTTAGTGGGCAGTAGCACAAAGTGTATGATAATCATTATTGAATAATTTGTCTTTCATGAGTTAACTTATTTCCCTTCTTCATACTTTTGTTTGTTTTCCATTTTCTTGACTTTATTTGTGTAGGTAAGGCTTTACTTATCTGGTAATAGCATGTCTGTATATTTAATGTATAATTTTCCAAGAAGTTTTAAGCAATAAGATTAAGCAACTAAAGAAAAACATTCATTCTACAGCATAACCATTAAGCCAATGCTAAGAGTAAATCTAGCTCTGCAATCTTGATTTATTTTGAATACTGAATACATCAAATAGAATTTTGATATTTTGCATTAAATTTGTAATTTTTTCCCCCCACTCTTTTTTTGTTTTGCCAGTGTCTATAGTTTGCAATTTCTGTTTTTGTTTTTCCAGAGTTTATACTTACATTATAAGTGTATTTGTTTAAATGTCTTCCACCAGCAAGAGGATTTAGTGAACCTTGGGAAGCTAATGGTGGCACTGGCATGCAATTCCGTTCTGGCTCTGCAGCGAGACAACATCCAGGCAGCTCTGGAACTCATCAACAGATCATACTCACGGGATTTGGCTATGTTGGTAGTTTGTTTGCTCACCTCTCAGCGCATCAAAAGCATTAATGATGTTATGCCAATGATTGGTGCAAGGTAAAAATATTGTTTTTACTTGTATGCATTGAGTGATACATTTATTTATTGAATTATGATATTATTTTTGTGATAGGAAGTTGGTTGTATTGTTTTTACTTGTATGCATTGAGTGATACATTTATTTATTGAATTATGATATTATTTTTGTGATAGGAAGTTGGTTGTGTTGTTTGGGGTGTATTTTTTGTTTAGTTCATTGAGTGATTATTTGTGTTAATGATATATGGTTAATGTACTTTCTTTTACTAGATTTTTTCTTTCTTTTCTTTTCATTTAACCTGAAATTTTTTTCAACATAGGTTCTACACTGCTTTAGAGAGTGCCACGCAGAGAGCTGATGTTTATGAGAGTGAGCTGTCCAAAGAAATACACAATGGTAGACTTTTCCGTCTCTTGACAAAGTTGAATACCATTGTTGATCGACCAGAGTAAGTTGCAGATATTTGTCATATGATTTTTGCAGTGTTGCAAAATCATGAACATTGCTATTTACATTTGTCACATAGAAGTAAGTGTATATTGTGAATAAAAGCTACATGTTTATGATTGGTTTGTGTGATATCATTACTGAGACTTGTTTTCAGCTGATTTACATTTAGAACTAGAAGACATTGTGTTTTTGAGTATGTCAAGTTATTAGGTATTGTCATTAGGTAACCATTTTGTATCATGTAGAAATTAAACTTACTATATACTTTATTGATTAATTACATCAGAGGCCTTTCATAATTACCTTCCTTATATGGAAGAAATGAAGGAAAAGAAAGAAAAAGTAATAATAAGATGACACAGGTCATATGGACACGGAAAATAATCCACTTCTGTATTTGATCAGACTCAATATGGACACAGCCTGGTGTGAGACAGGAGATAGATATATGCTGAAACTCTTCCGTGATTATGTATTCCATCAGGTGAGTTCATAACATAGGAGAATGTGGTGTAATTTTAATGCATTGTGAGGATCTTGTGGTGTGTGTGTGTGTGTGTAATTGCAAGTATTGTATAGTGCTTTTTAACCCATTAACGCGGGTATATTTTGAAGCCGAAAATAATAGTTTCCGGGTGGCTACAAAATCGGCGCGCGGGGCTGACCCGGAATCTGCCTGCGCGCCAGCCGCGGCCAACAACGTATTCAGAGCACAAGCTCCGAGCCAACATCACACTGGCGATATTTATTTTTCCGGGTGTCTCATATATGGGACACCAATTGTAAATGGGGTAAGCTTGAATGTGGCACATGTTTCACATGAGATTTGAAATGTTTTTAAAATGGGAAAAATGGAGAGGTGATGATTTGCTCTAGTCAACCTTATATGGTAATGCATATGATCATTTCTTAGGGTACATTTTGATTTTGTGCTTTTAAATAAAGATATTGCTCTGTTAACAAACTTATTGGATCTGGATGCTCCACTCCCATCACATGGCCAAAAATACTGGCATTAGGCTTACTTAAGTGGTCACTTTGATAGGTGTGCAGCTTTTAGGCCATGCACACATATTTAATTTTTTATAATAAAATCTGCCCCACCAGTCATGGCGACCAGGAATAGGATCCTGAGCATGGAAACAGCATCCTCTCTGGAGGCGGCACTCTTCCAGTCATGGCTTATGTACAGTACATTCCACACTCATTTATCAACTGAAATAATGCCAATAGCCCATTCCAAAATGCTAAATGAGTCTAATTACTCTCTCAGAGGTTTGTGCACTCATGGTGAGTCATTCCCTTCACTCCAGCCTTCAGCCAAAATGCTCACAAGTTCACGTCACCCTGGCCCACAACCAAATTTTTCCATGATGGCATGTTCATATCACCCACCCCTGAAGCCATTTTTTTTCATGATGTGATGGCCATGTCATCAGGATGGTATTGATTAAGTGTGCTTGCTCACATATACTTCATCAATAGTTATTATTAATTGTGTTCTTTGTAACTAACAAAATCTGTATTTCCTATTGGAAGTTTGATAAATGTACTGTGAATATGAAATTAGTTGATGTAAATTTTGGATGTACCCGAGATTAAAATTTTCACAGGAGCTGAGATGGAACAGATTGAATGTTTTATGTTTATTGTTCATTTATTCAACATAAGATATTCAACTTTTCATGAGTATTGTACTTTCTTTATTGTAAAAGACTGGGTTGTTCTATGAGGTAGTATAGTCTTTAGTTTTCTTGGATATCAATTTCAAAGGTGAAGTGATTTCAGTTGTTATAATTTTTAGATAAATATCTTTTATCATATAAAGCCAAAGATATTTTGTTGACATAAAGGCAAAGGATAGCAAAAAATTGAAGAGAGCACTTAGGATGTATCTTAGTCATTACTCACCCAATTCAAAAGGTCCAAGTCTTATTTTGATCTCGACTCACAGGTAACTGATGATGGAAGACCGTGGTTGGACTTGGGACATGTGGTGACTGTTCTGAATAAATTAGATGCAGGATCTCCTGATAAGGTGAGTTTTCTTATTTTCACATTATGCTGTTTTTGTTTTTGTTTTTTCCCTGGCTTTCCTGACAGTTGGCTGGATGTGATAATTTACATTTTTGTTGTCATTTTCTTTGCCATTTTCATTGTCATTGCAGTTTTCATCATCCTTGTCAATAATATCATTACCTTGATTTATTATTACATTCCTGTACTTATATGAACATGTTTATTTCACTAATACTTTGTTTATTAGTATTTGATGAGACAAACATTCTAAAGAAGCAGAAGGCCAGTAGCACACTGCTGTTCATAATACCTGAAGTCAAATACATTACTAATCCATTTTTGTTAGAAAATAAGTTCACTCATGACAGGAAAAATAGAGGCGATTTGTGATGTCCGACTGTCACTCTAAGTCATCATCAGAAATTATGATAATGCAGTTTAATGCTTGGGACTCTCATATATTTTGCTAAAGTGGGGACAAGTTTTTGTATGGCCTTATTAGGATGTGAATATTTGCATTGACCCACAAAAGCATTGCTGAAATGAAATTGCTTATTTTGTTTGCTTCAAATTTTTAAATATCTTTTGCTTGTAGCATCTTGACATTAATAGATAAGTAATCGCACATGCAGTAAGTATAAGACAGACATCTATTGTAGATTGGCTTGAAAAGTTTATTATTATTATTATTATTATTATTATTATTATTATTATTATTAATATCATTATTATTATTGTTATTATAAAGTTATTTTTAAGGGCATATATTTGTTTTGACCAGTAGTCTCTGAAGTTGATACTTTCTGTTGTTGATTATATAGATATTTGCTAATACAGACATAAGGAAAAGGAATTGAGATGTTATAGGTTTACATTATAGATGTATCAGATATCTAAAAGTGTGGCTATGCAAATGTGGGTGTGGGTATAACCTTTTTAAGATCATGAATGCAGCTGTCAATGTTGCTATTTAGAATTTGTATTTTGAGGATGTGGATGTTTGATGAATTGTGTGCAGATTATTTCAGTAGTTAGGGATTACTTGCAGGCACAAAAGTCAAACTTTGTGTGTTATCAGGATGTGGGACATATACCCAAAGTCATCATGCATCCTACTACTCCCTCCAAACACTCCCAAACCCCTTAACCTATTAGATCTAGAAGCCCTGTGGCCCACACATGGACCAAAATCCAGGCAATAGGCTTATTTGAGTGGTGACTCCTCTGATTGTGTAGATTGAAGGCCTGGCCCCGATAAACACTTATGTGGTATCGACTTTCTGTCTCCCATTTACAGTTATTATCTCTTTTTTTGATATGTTGTATCAAAATGGTAATAGATTATTATCATTAAGCAGACTCCCAATTTATTTCCATAGGTACTGTACAACTCTGTGCAGTAATGATAACAATGAATAACATTGTTTTTTTGTGTCAATTTTTTATAGTTTTATATTCAGTTTTCTGTAACACACCCTGTGCTGCTGGTCATGGTGTGTAGTTATAGGACCTGGCCGTCAGTCAGATTTTTCATGGCGGCTCATTCCCATCACCTCCAGCCTTCAGTCAAATTTTTCCATGATGGCATATTTCGGGGGGGGGGGGGGGGGATGCATAATTTGGTAGTCAATTCCACTGCAAGGAGATGACTGTGTAACTTTGGGAGTGAATGTTGTACTATTCATTTGTGTCTTGCAGTTTTCTTGCACTCTGGTATGTGCTGCTTCTTAGAAGAGCAACATGTGCTTTGTCAGATGGCAGCCCTCTGTGAGCTTAGTTGTTATGAGATGCTACATTACCCCCATAACTACTGTTGCATCATCTCTAGTGGATTGTCGTATGACCTTAAATCACACTTCTTCACTGTAGTACTAACTATAGACTGAAACATACAACCTCCTCTGACATATATGTCGGTTTAGATAGTATTCTGGGTTTTCAATGTATTGTTTTCAACGTATTGAGTATGTACAGGTATAAATTATGTTTTTACTTGTGCCCAGTTAGCATCAGTTCTGTAGGACAATTCAGTACCTTTATTGTTGATGTCATGCTCATGTGGGTGTGCTTGTTTTTTCCTTTCTCCTGATGGGCTTTATTTGTTATATTTTTGGATTTGCTTGGCGAAATTTGTATTATATGTATGCTGTGTGATGCAGCAGTAGCAATCTCATTTAGCAATCTTGCTGACAAGCATTCAATCCCGCACACTGCCAGTGGATGGTAACCCCGGCCATTTCTTGCACACGGGCTACTCTAGAAGCAAAATAAACAGACAGCCTGTCACAACAAAGAATATCCATTGTAGCAAATATAATGAAACTAGATTATGATTATGATTGTAATTATTGCATGAGGTATAAATCATCTCTGTTTTTTTTTTGCTGTGAGGTTAAACAACTGGTGTATTGGCATCCCCCCCATCTCTGGCCTTTTAATTATTGCATGAGGTATAAATCATCTCTGTTTTTTTTATGCCTTTTTATGTTTGCATGTCTGCCCTGCTCTGTTTTGAGGGTGGGGCTATTGTTTCTTCATTTTATTTTACCAAAGTGTATTGGTTTTACATTCTTACTCCCTCTTCATAAGGAACCCTGCTAGTGACCCAGGCTAAAGGAATTTACGTGTCAAAGTTTGTGGCCCTGTCCCATTCTCCATCTCTTTCTAATTCTTCTGTGATACTCACTCCATTTCTATGGTTCTCAGCTGTAGCTGTAGTCAGGCTAGCATGGTGTGTCAGTAGATCTTTTGCACTCTGATCGAGGGTCCACTTGGGTGTGACCTGCCAAAGCCACCACATTCATGGGATGTGGATTTTTTTGCAGTTTTCTTGCCTTTGCTCTCATTTTCTGACTTAATTTCATGGTGATGACTGTGGCTCCTTGACAGTCTGTTTTCACATATGGTACTTTTAGACAGTTTTGTTGAACTTTTTCTTATTGTTACTTTTGATCTAGAAAATAGTCAAGATTACTCACTATGAATGAAGAATGATGTGAACTTCAATAGGGTGGGGGATTTCAGAGGTTGCCAGAGGAATTTTTGGCATGTTTTTAGTTATCCCTTCTTTTGGTATGCGCTATGCAGCTGCCTTGTTTACATAGTTATTTTGGTTCATATACTGGATTAGGCGGCCATATCTGATTGCTATAACCTTCCTCAATTCCATCATAAACCCTAGGCCAAACCTACCTCAAACCATAAACTAACCTAATCCTGCAAAGGCTATCGTAACCCACATCAGTCAAAGTGAGAGAGAACCAAACAAATTTGTTCTATCCCACAGGAATCAAAAAGCAGCCACCTTTACCAATTATGTGCTCATTTACCATGACATGGGTTGTGGATATCTTCAGTTTGTTGAGAATGAAACGTTGATAGAATTCCAGTAGCAATGATGACATGCTGTTCTTTTGATATATACAACTTATAAATGTTGAGGATGTGATTCTTAATGGTTTTCAATCTTTGACAGATTTGTTTGATGTCTCATGATGAGCAAAACATCCTGGTGACCTCCTATGCAGAACTAAAAAGGTGCTTCGAACGCTCCTTTGCTGAGCTGCTGCAGGCAGCATCTTCACATAAGGCAACATAACCCTATACAAAGGGGTGGTTGACTTCTTGACCCTCCAGTAAGCAATGGGAAACAATCATCTCAAAGCCACTTATTTTATCTGATGGAATTTACTCATTTTTTGATGCATCGGAGGGGTTGGGAAAAGGGATGAAGATGAAGGTACAGTAGTGGTAATGGTCCATGTATTAAACTTACCTTATTGATTTTTTATTCTCTATTTTTTTTAATCCATGTAAAATAAAAGACAAGTTTATTTTGCTACTAAATAACCATTGGTGAAGACTGTTTGTAACTTGAATCAGTGAAAGTTTTGTGTCATTGATTGAGAAGCAGTGAGGTTTCTTCTGTGTAGTATTGTATTGGGACTTGGTTTGTGGCTGGTCTGAGCTGGGAAGAAGAAAGATTCAGTGAGGATTGTACACGGGAAGAGAAATAGAATGGACATTTATGCTCTCGCAGTTATTAATATTATTTATTGATTATTTATTACTTCATAGCCAGTATGCAACAACAGTCATAGGTAAAAGATAATTTTTGGCATTATATACATCTTACTCAGTTTTTTTCAAATGATTAGTCTTGGATTCACAGGCAAGTTATGAATAATGCTGATTTGCAGTTAAGGCTAATTCTATCAGCCAAACTTAGTGATTGTGTGTATATAAGTTTGAAAGTAGTGAACTGGATATCCTGTGTATGAGTATTGTATTAATTACAAGTATTGCTGCTGTCTAGGGTGTAATACATCAATCAGTGGTAGAAAGATAGGCCTATTGTGTACATTGAACTAAGCAATAGATTACTTCCAGCACTTGGTGGAGAGAGGACTTAGGAAGCTGTTTTCCAGAAGGAAATTTCAGAGATAAACACATTTTTAGGATAGGGGTAATGTTAAAGCTATATGTGTAGGGAAAAATGTAATGCAAAAAAGAGCAAAAAAAATAATGCATTCACTTATTTTTCATGAACAGTCAGTCAGCTTGCTTTACAGATATGAAATTTTTAAAAGGAAATTGAGAGCTCATTTGAAATACACGTTACATAGCCATTGATCAGGCTATTACTGGGTGTATACGCATTCTGTGATAAGTGGATTTGATTTGACTCACGTATTCTGGGAAGAAGTAGTCTTGTAAAATTGAGAAGGCAGAATTCTGAAATGTGTATGCATAATCCATGAGTAACACCAGAATATGTACATATGCACTTCATGATGTTCATATGGCAACGCAAAGAAGTGCGCACATGGTAACACAGCATATATGTACACATATTTTCACCTATACTTACACCTACTCTTACACTGACAACTAAATTAGTTATTCTGTATCAAAACCAGTACATAAGCATATGCATATCATACATACATCGAATGAAAAAACCCAGTTCATTTGCATATACATTTAGTGAAGTGAAATTTATACATGTTTACACTTGAAATAATTCAGGTAGAGATTCATAATGTGCTTCATATATTTATGTACCACCTTTTTTATTATTATTCTTTTTATTTTATTTTTTTTATTATTATCATTTTTTTTATTATTTTTTATAGATAACAGTGAATTTATTTTTTAGCTTGACAGTTACTTTTGGATTTTTCATTAAGGATGTATTTTAGAATTAACTTATCATATCATAGAGGTACGCATAGATGGCAGAAATAGCCTTCAGAAAGGTAGGATGCAGTGATTATATGACACTTGCTGGAGGGGCATGGTAACTATAAGAAGTTAGGTTCCTTTACTGGCTTAAGAAGCAGTTCATTCTCATCTTGAAAGCTGGCTGATGATTTCTATCATAATTGTTTGATGTATTTTGGGGGAGAATAGTTTTCCCCAGTTTCAAGAGTGGCTTCTTATTTGTTAACCAGTGTCCTATTCCTGTTTGTTTTTGTTTTTGTTTTTAATTACATATTGGGAGTAATTATGATAATTATTATTTATATGCATTTGATTTATTTTTTTGGAATTTCATACTTCTTTCTTTCTTTTTAGAATTTTATATATACTTGAGATAGGCATTGAAATGCACATGTTAGCAAAATATTGGAATATTACATGGGAAGATAGGGTACTCAATTTCCATTCTCCAGTAACTCTAAAATGTTCATGCAAACACACAAATAAACATATGCAGATATAAACATTGGTACATACATGAACATTTGCACTGGCTCACTAACACATGTATATGTAGATGCATGGGTATCATGAATACAGTGGCATATAAAAAGGCATTGGTTCACATACACACTGATTTACCCCTTATGTACATTTTAGATTTTGTTAAACTTATTTCTTAGATGTGGAAAGGGCTGACCAGAAAATGAGTCTTTTAAGAAACACTTAATATCATTGGCTTATGGTGTATCTTCTAATTATCAGGAATTATTTCATTTTGCAATATTACTTGGTTGATATTGCTTTTTTGTTGTTTACTTATTTATATTTTTGAAAGGGAGACCTCCCCCCACCTGTTTTGGGGGTTAAAAAGGTTTTAGGAATTGTTTAAAATGGACAGGTGAATATTGAAGTTTATGATGAGTTTAGGTTTTCTTCATTATTTTATTGGGTATTAGTAATCCATTATTTACATAAGAACTTTCATAGCTTGTATCACTCAGGAAAAATGATGCCATTAGTATGT